GAGNGGGGGGGGGAGAGAGCAAAAAAAGCCACAATGCGCATATATCCATGCATATGTATATAAAAGGGGTAACACTTAGTCGGAAGAAAGATTAGTCAGCAAAGAATTGACATCGTTTGGGGATGAAAAGGAATCATGAGCATGAAAGTTGTTCCTCAACGCCAGCATGAGCTGCTGAACTTGCGCACGCAGCTGCTCCCGTTGAACTTTCCGCTGCTGAAGCCAGACGTATCGCGCATACGCGGTGCGCAACTTCCCCATTGCCGTGTACACCTCGTGCGCATCTTTAAAATACTTTCCGAAATCGTTCTCTAAGAACGCAATCTCCTTTTTCAAAAGTTGCAACTCCCGCATCTCCGCGCTCGCCGTGAGCTTCGCAGAACGATATGCCTCAACAACTTTTTTACCCTCTTTAATGAGCTCGTTGTAACTTGCCTTTGCCCAGTCAATGAACTGTGGTAGGCCTTCAAGCGGAAGTCCTCGATAAGGGTTCGTATCGAATATTGCATCGTTAGAATGAGATAAGGCAGTGTCAGAATGTTTTAGGATGGAATTACTCATATCGATTTTACCCAAAACCTTTAAGAAACGTGGTTCGTATGGCTCTAGAGGGGCAGCATTCGATGGCAAAGAATGAGCACACTCGATAGAAGCTGAATCTTCCATTTTGTCTGAAGTAGCTCCCGAACATGTACACAAGTGGCGTTGCGGGTCCATTCTGTGGAAGTCTCGAGGAGAAAGCGTTAAAGTTGGATGAGTAGATTTCTCCTCATTACGCATCCTGCGATGAATATGAAAACCTCCTCCTGCTTTACGCTGTATTTCCTCGCTGTAGAGATTCAACTCCAAGCCGGATTCAGAAGTAGGAGAACGGGTGGACGGAAAGAAATTGGAAGGCAAATGATGATAATGGGGATCTGATACATCTTGAAAACGAGTAGCCTTTGGTGTCAGAATAGGTTTTTGCATAGGAAGATCCGTAGCTCCCTCCTCCTGGGGAGAATCTCGAGGCGTTCGATTTCGATGCTCCGTACGCTCTTCCGTTTGAGTTGAGGCCTCACAAAACGTTTGCGTTGAAATAGATTGTCGTGATAAAAGAGGAGTAGGCGCATCCGCGTTGTTGCTGGGGCGTCGTGTCGTATCTGGGCAATGATCTTCGGATATCGAAGCCTTGTCTACCATTGTTGTAACTGGAATTGATGGCCTGCAATTCTTTTCAGAATTCTCGCAATTACCGATCTCAGTATGGCGGAGCGGTATCGGTTTTTTCAGATTATTCCTGGTGATAAGTGGAATTTGTGGGCGGTCACACCTCTCTGACGCATTGCGTGAAGTAGAGCAAGGTGAAACCGCTGACAGCACATTGGTATCGTTGAAAGATACGGATCTAGCACCTGACGGATCTCTGAAAGGAGTCGTTGAATCAGATGACAAGACCGATTCAATAATGCGTCGAAGTGTGAGATGTTGCAATAATTGCCTTCGCGCGGATTGCGCCAGAGCTTTTAGACGAGCTCCCTCAATTCGACTCCCCCATCGACCACGCCACCTTGCCCATACCTTCTTCAGGGCGTTAATGATGATCACGGAGTTGTAGTACCGTTGCACAGCAACATCTTCCTCCCTACATCGAACTAAGTAGCTTGCCCTAGTGTTCCAATGATAAAAGTGAAGGCGCATATGACGCACTTGGACGTTCTTTCTGTTGAACACATCAGATATCGTATTCAGGTGAGCAAAGGTTACCCATTTCGAGAAAAAAACTCGAAGGTGCGAACCCATTACACGACGGCTCATCATGGAACTGGTAGCTCGCATTAACCATCGTTGCCAAACAATCCCTCGCCATTCCTTCTGGAATGTTGCTTGCAGTTTCTGCACGTTCTCGGTATATCGACGAAGTCGCCATGCTCGACGAACGCAAGTGGTCTGAAGCCACCGAAGCCATATAGAACGCCGCGCTAAGTCGTCGTAGACACCAGGAGCTCGCAACACCTGACGACATCCACGACGTAAAGTCTTTTTATTATCTAAGTTAGAGCTCAGCCACGCCTTCATTGTAAAAAGCCTTACCACTTCTGAACGAAGCCGCATTTCCTTTGCAATGCAAACGAATCTCCTCCAATCAACCCATCGTTCCTCTAAAGAAATTTGGTCGGTTGCAGCCCTCAGTCCTTTCGCAAGAGAACACCTAGAAGTGTAGCAATTCCACTTAACCCAATAGAAATGTATGAGTTCCATTCTACGACAGGCGTTGAGATGCTCAATATGCGCCATGATATTTTTGCGTTTAACTACAAACCCTCTCCAACTTTTCATAATAAGCCGCAAAAACCGTTGCTTTCGAAGCAGGCACGTTTGTTTCTCCTTTACTCTCATCGTTTGTCGATGCCCATATTTCCATTGCCAAGCACGAAAGAGAACATAGCAGATGTTTCGACGGTAATACTCTCCAGCAAAATACTCTAATCGCATTCTTTTCTCCTCATGTCTGCTCAAAACTTCTTTCCACTTGAGCCAAGTCCGCATACGAAGATTTTCACTATGCGTCACTATGGCAACCATCTTCAGTGCGAGAGAACTGCAGTCATCATCGATAGGGTCCTCGTTTTCAGAGCCTAGGGATGAAGAGCTACTTAGAATGGACAAAGACGATGTGAATTCTGTTATCAGATTCATCTATAATTATTTTTCTTTATAGTTTGTATCTATAGGAAGGTATTTATAAGGTAGTAATGTCTATGGTAGCAATCTAAAATGAGCTTTCCTGTGTTGCTTGGTAACTTTGACCTTTGTGATGAATCATAAAGAAAACAGGCAACTCGAGAAAAAAAAATCAAATAAAGAGCTTCGACAAAAAAAACGATATAACTGATCACTGATTATGCCTAAATTATGAATACATAAAAATAATTTTGGATACAACCCATCCTGATAAAGCACATGATACAATTAAAGTTTTAAATCACTGGAACTCCGAACATCTTCATAATTCAGCTGTCCGCCTAACTGCTTCATTAAACAGAGCTTTTGGATCTACAGCAGGATTAAACATCTATGACTAGAGTGTACTTGTATCTATTGACATGCATGTAGTAGCAATTCTACCCTTCAGGGTGCTGAAACCGACCACTACCCTGCGTCATCCGTACGAATAGCCGCACACATTGCCAGATTGGAAGAAGACCACAGAAACAAAGGCAGCCTCAGGCGATAACTACCATGAAAGCGGCCCCACTTCTCCTTTAAAATCTTCCATTATCGCTGTGGGGCGAAGTTGGTAGTTGAGTTTACGTATCTAATTCAATTTTGGGGAGGCGCTCACTATATGGCCGGAAAATCCAACCCCCTCCCCTTGGGAGCTCAGCAAGGCCAACAGACATTTGCGAGCGTAAAAAAGTAAAAAAGACTTCGTAGATAACAGAAAATACTTGCTTGGACCCAAAGAAAGAAAGACAAACAAAGCTATGCTCCATTATAGCACACCCTCATCCTTCAATCTCAACGTCGGTATGTCCTCCTCCTCGCACTAATTAAATACACGATTCCGTACTGCTTATATACAAAAAAAAAACATCTAATAAGAAACACACAAACATACTGAATTCCCCGCTTACGGATCCAAAGGATGCCCTACATGGGGAAAACATTTCAGCTATAATTCTGGAGCTTCCCGCCAAAAGCAAGGCGATAGTTGAAGAAATCTACCCGAAAAAAACGCTCAAACACAGTCACCACCACGAAGAAAATAAAACCAGCATTTTCAAGAAAGCAGTATCAGTGAGAACAAGCAGGGCTGCGATCCTCTATGGGAATTATGATGACAGTCTGTTGGTAAAAAAAAAACCCATCCCATCATGTATGGAGGATTTCTAAAGAATAAAATGGGGTAAAACAAAAACAATAAAGAGAAAACACACTCAGAATCGCACACTCGCCAGGCTTGGTCGAACCTTTTCACAAACCTGGCAGTAGAAAACCCCGTTGGGGTTGAACTTGCTGCATCCGCCGTGCTCGACGGAGCAGACCCAGTAGCCCTCGGGGCACCCCCACAGATAGAGGTCGGCCGCCCCTGCCCCCGCCGCCGTCCGAGCCCCCTTCTCCCCCAGCGGCGACGGATTCCGTGCGAGGCACACCGAACACACCGGCTGCCGCCGTGAGGGGTTCAAAAACGTGCAGGTCGGGCACGCCCAAGGGGCGTCTGGGGCCCCCGCCTCGTCCCCGTCCGGCTCGCACCCCCCATAGCGGGGGTGCGCGCACATCGCACAGACGGCCCCGCCCGCGTCATTGCGGAAGGTGCAGGTGTCACAACTCCAGGGCTCGTCCGGCCGGGGGCGGGCCGACTGGGACACGGGCCCCGT